AAGCATAAACAACTCCCTATGCACAATATATTTATCATTCGTGTGATTCGTAAAAGCATGAACAACTCCTTATGCACAATATATTTATCATTCGTGTGATTCGTAAAAGCATGGACAACTCCTTATGCACAATATATTTATCATTCTTGTGATTCGTAAAAGCATGGACAACTCCTTATGCACAATATATTTATCATTCTTGTGATTCGTAAAAGCATGGACAACCGATTTAGGTTCAGATTCAGTACGTACTATGGACTTTCTTTTTATTAGTTTATTTTTATGGCACTTATAACACATTAGCTTTATTATGCCAAGGCAATATGCGGGGCCCCGAGTGGCCGAGTGGTCTAAAGCGGTGTCCGTTACGGATCACTGCCATCTCACCTCTGTCTACGTGTGTTCGAGTCTAGGATTCGGCTAATGTGGATATGTGAGAAAGCTTGCCAGTAGCTTCTCGTGGGTCAATGGTTCTTTCCGGTGATTTCCCGGTTTCTTCCTCCACCATTAATACTGGCCGCCAAGAATAGCCTATCGTGTGCTAAAAAATGGCGTTAAGCCCAACAACAACAACAACAACAACAACAACAACAACCAAGGCAATATGAGCTATGTGCCTTTCTCAAAGATATACCGGAGCAGCATTCGATGGATGTCCTTAGTCGTTATCGAACCAGTTGACATTGCTTATGAATCGTACAATCGGCCACCTTTTAGCTATAGGGGCTTCCAACATTGTTCTTATCTTTCCTGTAAGGATATGCAAAGCATGCATACTTCATAAAATATTTGGGGTATATAAATATTTTAATTTTTGTGGCTTTTATGCAATTTTGCGAAACGTTTATCAGTTCTAATGAAGTTTATATAATCTTTCTTGAGCTAAGATTGTATGCAAATGGTTATATTCAAACAGATTTAATGTTTCATATCCGACAGCCAAACTGTAAAGATTGTATGCAAATGGTTATATTCAAACAGATTTAATGTTTCATATCCGACGGCCAAACTGTAAAGATTGTATGCAAATGGTTATATTCAAACAGATTTAATGTTTCACATCCGACAGCCAAGCTGTAAAGATTGTATGCAAATGGTTATATTCAAACAGATATAATGTTTCATATCCGACAGCCAAACTGTAAAGATTGTATGCAAATGGTTATATTCAAACAGATTTAATGTTTCATATCCGACAGCCAAACTGTAAAGATTGTATGCAAATGGTTATATTCAAACAGATTTAATGTTTCATAACCATTGTATGCAAATGGTTATATTCAAACAGATTTAATGTTTCATATCCAACAGCCAAACTGTAAAGATTGTATGCAAATGGTTATATTCAAACAGATTTAATGTTTCATATCCGACGGCCAAACTGTAAAGATTGTATGCAAATGGTTATATTCAAACAGATTTAATGTTTCATATCCGAAAGCCAAACTGTAAAGATTGTATGCAAATGATTATATTCAAACAGATTTAATGTTTCATATCCGACAGCCAAACTGTAAAGATTGTATGCAAATGGTTATATTCAAACAGATATAATGTTTCTTTTCCTACAGCCAAACTGTAAAGATTGTATGCAAATGATTATATTCAAACAGATTTAATGTTTCATATCCGACAGCCAAACTGTAAAGATTGTATGCAAATGGTTATAAACAAACAGATTTAATGTTTCATATCTGACAGACAAACTGTAAAGATTGTATGCAAATGGTTATATTCAAACAGATTTAATGTTTCATATCCGACAGCCAAACTGTAAAGATTGTATGCAAATGGTTATATTCAAACAGATTTAATGTTTCATATCCGACAGCCAAACTGTAAAGATTGTATGCAAATGATTATATTCAAACAGATATAATGTTTCATATCCGACAGCCAAGCTGTAAAGATTGTATGCAAAGGGTTATATTCAAACAGATATAATGTTTCTTTTCCGACAGCCAAACTGTAAAGATTGTATGCAAAGGGTTATATTCAAACAGATTTAATGTTTCATATCCGACAGCCAAACTGTAAAGATTGTATGCAAATGGTTATATTCAAACAGATTTAATGTTTCATATCCGACAGCCAAACTGTAAAGATTGTATGCAAATGGTTATATTCAAACAGATTTAATGTTTCATATCCGACAGCCAAACTGTAAAGATTGTATGCAAATGGTTATATTCAAACAGATTTAATGTTTCATATCCGACAGCTAAACTGTAAAGATTGTATGCAAATGGTTATATTCAAACAGATTTAATGTTTCATATCCGACGGCCAAACTGTAAAGATTGTATGCAAATGGTTATATTCAAACAGATTTAATGTTTCACATCCGACAGCCAAGCTGTAAAGATTGTATGCAAATGGTTATATTCAAACAGATATAATGTTTCATATCCGACAGCCAAACTGTAAAGATTGTATGCAAATGGTTATATTCAAACAGATTTAATGTTTCATATCCGACAGCCAAACTGTAAAGATTGTATGCAAATGGTTATATTCAAACAGATTTAATGTTTCATAACCATTGTATGCAAATGGTTATATTCAAACAGATTTAATGTTTCATATCCAACAGCCAAACTGTAAAGATTGTATGCAAATGGTTATATTCAAACAGATTTAATGTTTCATATCCGACGGCCAAACTGTAAAGATTGTATGCAAATGGTTATATTCAAACAGATTTAATGTTTCATATCCGAAAGCCAAACTGTAAAGATTGTATGCAAATGATTATATTCAAACAGATTTAATGTTTCATATCCGACAGCCAAACTGTAAAGATTGTATGCAAATGGTTATATTCAAACAGATATAATGTTTCTTTTCCTACAGCCAAACTGTAAAGATTGTATGCAAATGATTATATTCAAACAGATTTAATGTTTCATATCCGACAGCCAAACTGTAAAGATTGTATGCAAATGGTTATAAACAAACAGATTTAATGTTTCATATCTGACAGACAAACTGTAAAGATTGTATGCAAATGGTTATATTCAAACAGATTTAATGTTTCATATCCGACAGCCAAACTGTAAAGATTGTATGCAAATGGTTATATTCAAACAGATTTAATGTTTCATATCCGACAGCCAAACTGTAAAGATTGTATGCAAATGGTTATATTCAAACAGATTTAATGTTTCATATCCGACAGCCAAACTGTAAAGATTGTATGCAAAGGGTTAAATACAAACAGAGATAATGTTTCTTTTCCGACAGCCAAACTGTAAAGATTGTATGCAAATGGTTATATTCAAACAGATTTAATGTTTCATATCCGACAGCCAAACTGTAAAGATTGTATGCAAAGGGTTATATTCAAACAGATTTAATGTTTCATATCCGACAGCCAAACTGTAAAGATTGTATGCAAAGGGTTATATTCAAACAGATTTAATGTTTCATATCCGACAGCCAAACTGTAAAGATTGTATGCAAATGGTTATATTCAAACAGATTTAATGTTTCATATCCGACAGCCAAACTGTAAAGATTGTATGCAAATGGTTATATTCAAACAGATTTAATGTTTCATATCCGACAGTCAAACGGTATCAGACTGGTGATGTACAACACAAATGTTTGACTTAAATCATGCATTCACTCGATTACTAACGAAATCAATGGGTTATTAATGCAATGTTATTTCGAAATAAATTTATTAACGCTTAAAAATAACGTAATCCTACATTACGCACGTGATACTTCTATTGTGTTTTGGCTTCTAAGCTGAAAATTTTCTATCTTAGCCGGTTTTCAACAATTTTATTTTTTAGGGTTTTTTTTGTGCGTTTCAATAAAATTTATTTTGGAAAGAAAATATATAATCTTAATACAATTATACAAAATGCCAATAATACTCCGATGTACAAATATGACTATTTTAGTTGACGAATTAATATAGCATAGTAGCTTAGGGAACTATCATTGGATTAGCTGCACGATTTGTTGTAAAGCATGTTAACTTCTGGTATAGATAGCCCCCCCTCCTCATGTGATGTTTGTTGCATTTGTAATAACCACCACAAGGCTACATTAGAAATGAAATGGATACAAAAGGTTACATTACACATGGTATAGATACAAAAAGTTACATCACACGTGAAATGGATACGAAAGGTTACGATACAGATGGTATAGATACAAAAAGTTACATCACACGTGAAATGGATACGAAAAGTTACATTACACATGATATAGATACAAACGGTTACAAGACACGTGAAATGGATACAAAAGGTTACATCACACGTGAAACGGATACAAAAGGTTACATTACACATGGTATAGATACAAAAAGTTACATCACATGTGAAATGGATACGAAAGGTTACACTACACATGATATTAATACAAAAAGTTACATCACACGTGAAATGGATCCAAAAGGTTTCATTGCATGTGAAATGGGCACAAAAGGCTACACTACATATGAGATAGATTCAAAATGTTAAGTTGCACATGAAATGGCTACAAAAGGCTAAACAACAATTGAAATGGACACAGAACGTTAATTAAACATGAAATGGTCACAAAAGGTTACATTACACATTGAATGAATACAAAATATTACATTACACATGAAATGAACAAAATATCATAAAAGAAAAGTGTTGGACTTCTATTTTAAGTATTTATACAAAGTAAATATGTAGATTATAAATGGAAAAAAGTTTATAGCCTTTGATACACGTAACAGCGTTATTTCCCTTAACCACTGTGTGTATTCCATAGTTTTTATGTTTCCTTAATAATGGGGAAAATCAGCATCTATTCTCTATTAAGAGAGTTATATCACTAAATAAGAAGCTAAACTATTGATGTTATTTAAATATGTGTGTTGTTCCCTCAACGGCGTCAAATTAAACTTTTCTTTGTTACAGTCATTTTATCTGGCATTAATGAGAGAAAGAAATAGTGAGATGGTCACATTAGGAATCCATGCCATAAACAATAAATAAATTAATTAATTTTCCGCTGGCCTAGTGGTTAGAGTGTCCGCCTAGGAATGCAGAAGGTCGCGGGTTTGAACCCCGACCGAGTCATACCAAAGACTTATAAAAATGGTACTAACATCTGCCTCGCTTTGCGCTCATCACTAGGAGGTTAGTGTTAGGGCTTGTCAGCCTGTTGTCAGGATACTGTGGGTGAGACATGATGTTATATGTCTGCGGCATGATGCCCCAGTTCTAGATACCACTAGAAACTGCCACACCGCAGACATCGTAGCGATATGACTGAAATTTTTAAAAGATGCGTTCAGACACATAATTAAATAATTTAATTAACAAGGTACAATCATTTGAGATACAATGAGAACTTTGCTGTAATGTAGACAACTTAGGTTTGTTTGTACACATCTTAATCTTTAAGCAGTTATTTCACGTGTAATCTACCATATTTGACGCTACAGAACCAGCTACGGTAGAGAAGGTTCTTAATGTAGTTTTTACATCAGCTGCCAGCAGAGTAGCGAGGGTGTGGCAAGACACCGCACGTGCCATGGGCGCCACTTGAAGGGGTAGGGGCGCAAAATCGGTGAGCAAAACCAAGTTTTTATACTTTCAAAGCTTTGACATGGGCGCAATTGTAGTTCTGGTCGCGGTTTTGCCGTTTTCGCCCCTTTAATAGGGGCGCAATTTTAGTTCTTGCCATGGTTCTTGTTGTGGGCGCCACATGTCCTCGCTACGACTCTGGCTGCTAACAACATTCAAATGAGAAAAATAATTCATTTGAACAATGAACTAATTATACTAAAGGCCGAAATATTAAGTATAATTTTAAAGAAACTAAAGATTGATTCCCATACAAATAATCTTGTATGATGCCTATTTTTACCATATTTAAAGGATAGGTCCTTTTAAAAATTGGTATGTAAATATTCACACTAGTAAATATCCGTTATTACTCCGTTTCCTCACTTCTAAATTTTAATGTAGGATAAACATAAATTCATTTGTAACATTCTGCTCAACCACAAAACTTATGTGAAAAAAAAAACCCAACAAAAACCAATTAATTGCCAGATCGATTACTTTTCGATGATGGGTTTCTTTCTGTTTACAGATCACACTGTTTGGGTGTACTCATGCCAATTCGCATTTAATTTAAGTTATATTCATGTAGAGTTGCCTACTTCAAATGACAAAGATCAGTATCCCAAATATAAGCTGATCTACATTTTTATATCGTTGAAATGATCCTATGCTCACTCAGCATAATTGCAAAGCACACCTCTAAGTAAACCACAGGCTTCATTTAGAAAATGCGCATGCGTTTTCAAATATAGTTCAAAGGTCATTATGAACTGATAAAATCAAAATATATTTAGAATACATAAATGTTTCAAGACCAGCAGTTAAAATTAAGTATTACGGAATTAATCATCAATTAATACGTTTAACTAAATTTATTTAATATTTTACTTAGTGTATATCATTTTTTAAAAAAAGAATTTTAGACTTTTATTTGATCAATATGGGAGAATTCGTGTTAGCGTAGACAAACGATAATTACATTCAACAGTCTGACGATCAAAGAACAATATGGCCTACATGACGCCTGTGTTCTGCACAATGTATAGGGAAAGTACGAGACGACAGGTAGGGATTATTAAGAATTATTTTTTAGAAAAAAAGAAAGACATACACTTACAAAGATCTGTGTGCATTAATATATGTCAATCTGCCTATAGATTCGCACAGTGAATGCTTGTTTTTCTGGAAAGGCAGGCATGTTATGTTGAAAACCTGTTCATTGTAGACCGCTATATAGGTTAACTGATGCGTGCCAGTCTCATACATTTTTCATCTCAATGTATTCACGTTGATTTGATCAGGTCGTGTAGATATCAAAAAGGGAAACAGGGATGGTTTCTCCATTTTCCTCGCAGATGCGCGCATGTTCAGCAGAGCAGCCATAATTAGTTCTGAACACGGTCTACCAACGGAGCGACACAAAGTGTAGAGGTTCATCGAGTAAATATTTTAGTCATCCATTTTGGAGACACTTTCCATTTCGCCAAAAGACGTACGAAGATTTCAATTTAGACACACAGGGATAAAGCCTCTTCATTTCTCGAAAAGAGTGGAAGAAGTTGAATAGCGTTCGCGGGTGAAGTCAATTCTAAGGAATACAGGTTATGTGCTTGGATGAACATAAATTTCTTAACCATCTCTCGTTTACAGACGGAAAATTTCTGATGAATATATGTAAAGGTAAGCATCAGAGGCCGCTTAACATACCAGACAATTTTAAACATGTTTCTTCCAATCAGTCGTCCGATAGGACTATCTTCTAGTTTTTTGTTTTTTCGTCAGGTTGGAAGGGCCAACAATTGTATTCGCCGCCTAGCAACTTAGACACAAATACAGTGTGATATATATATATATATATATATATATATATATATATATATATATATATATATATATATATATATATATATATATATATATATATATATATATATATACATGTGTGTGTGTGTCTTTATATAATCTGGTACGTGGATAATTTTACCAAATTCACCCTTATTTATTTTTTGCACTGCATTTTAATTTAATGGCAAGAAAAATATAAATTAATTTACAATTCTTGCATTTGTATGTTATATAACTAGCCTTATATCAGAATAAGTATTCTTTAATTTCAAAGCAACAATTCAAAGGATGAGGCTTTCCATTTGCTTTATATTTTGTTTCTTATCAAAATTTTGTTTTCTAAACTACTATTATTTTTATCATTACATATTACACATATTACTCAAAAGCGAATTCATAGAAGTGTTAATTTTGTTTGTATCAATAGATTCTTTCATAACTATTGGCATTGAGATCATCTCAAATAAATTTTTGTTGATGTTTTAATTAATAAATACATTATTATAGTTCATTCTGAAGGATGTAATTATAATAATAATAATAATAATAATAATAATAATAATAATAATAATAATAATAATAATAATAAAAATAATAATAATAATAATAATAATAAAATTAATGCCAGTCGCCACATTATTGCACACAAAATGATCTGCCTTAAGATACAAGTAGTCATAAACTATAGGCAACAAAATGCAGCTGGCCCTACCCTCCTCCACCCCAAACAAGCTATACAAATCTATTTTAAAAGACAGCAAAAATGTTTTATATTTGTGTTTAAAAGAATCATTAGTAATATTACTGTTTAAGATATTCCATATAAAAACATCACTATATATAAAATCATTAGGTATAAAACGCATTTTTAAATTTCGATCTTGTGTTTTTGGACACTTTTAGTAGAAGAGCGCATGATTCGACAATGAATTTCTGAGACTGGAATAAAATTATTCAGAGAATTTGGTGCCATTAACTTTGAGCTTTTCACACGAGGATTTTCTCATTGAATTTTACTATACCGTTTAAAAGTTAACAAACTGGGTTTTCAGATAATGTCTTTAGATGTTAAATATTTTCATCCAAATGAGTTATAGCCACATTATTTTGCAGGCGTTCAATGCATTTCAAGAAAAGGAAAACAATGTCCCAAATCAAATACTGGAACATTAATCAAAATTAATAGGAATCAATTGTGAAAAGCAATTCTTGAATTTAGTTTTAATAAAAGGTCTAAATCTCTTCAAACGAAACAATTTGAAGGCAATTGTGCAACACCCCCACCCCACCCTCATTCATATATATATATATATATATATATATATATATATATATATATATATATATATATATATATATATATATATATATATATATATATATATATATATATATATATATATATATATATAACAGTGTTGTTGGAACACCAAATTGAAACGTTTGACATATCAGAATGTAGCATACTCTCAGTTTCATCTGTATTAGTACTTACCGTTTGAAACACTGTCTTATATAAACATGTCAGTATGGTCAGATAAACAGTAATAAAAATGTGGCCTTAATAGTGACCCAGGAAGATCCCAGCAGTAACATGCGACGAATAACATAACAAACTATAAAAGCAAATGGTTTTGCTGTTTAAATACGAGTTTAGAAGACACATGCTTAAATTAGAATATCTATAAATTCCTAATGTATGCATCAGAATAGAACGTCCTCTTGCAGCTTCTTCTTCTTCTTCTTCTTCTTCTTCTTCTTCTTCTTCTTCTTCTTCTTCTTCTTCTTCTTCTTCTTCTTCTTCTTCTTCTTCTGATTATTATTATTATTATTATTATTATTATTATTATTATTATTATTATTATTATTATTATTATTATTATTATTATTATTCATTGATCAAGTGTTCTAAAGTTAATCAAAATAATTGTCATTAATTTATGAACGGAATCTGTTTTTAAACCTTTGACACTTTTCTTTAAGAGTAATACAATTTACATGGTATTAATCTACAACATTTATTTTATTAAATCGACTTCTTTTGAAGTTGTAATGAGGAAGATAAAAATGTTATATTTCTTCGTGCAGTTTTTTTTATAGTAAAAATACACACCTTTCGATATGGATAAAAAAAACTTTGTAAGTTTATTAAAACTTTGCGTTTTATTTGTTGCTTAATGATTTATATCCAGTATATTTGTTGTTTTAGAAACAAATGTTTCAAAATGTTGAACCCCTGCAAACTGTTTTTAATTTTGAAGAAAATAGTGTAAACAGCAGGGGCAAAATAATAGTCAGACCAACTTAAACTTTGGTGTCTTGACCGTGTATATTGTCTACTCTCTCTCTCTCTCTCTCTCTCTCTCTCTCTCTCTCTCTCTCTCTCTCTCTCTCTCTCTCTCTCTCTCTCTCTCTCTCTCTCTCTCTCTCTCTCTCTCTCTCTCTCTCTCAATTAGCAGAAGCTGCTATGCCAGCTTTTGTCCCCACCAATCGTTTCCCACGGCAGTAAATGAGAAAGGTACGTATCTCCTAGTTTCTATGCATGACTGATATTGCCAAGAAAGAGTTGAAACAAGTAATTCAGAAGACTTCATAAATTACGAATCCACTATCTTTGTCATTCTATGTATTACATTGCAATTCTATACTTTGTCCTAAAATCA